CGTGCTTCCTTCGCGCTCTATACGATCTCTATCGGGTATTATATTGCGCTTACGATCATCGTAGGTTTACGTAAACGCACGGCGGACGCGCGACAGGGGTGAAAGAGGAAAAAGGAGGAAAAAGGAGGAAAAAGAAATCCGCTTTCTTCTTCGCTCGTTTGGCATGCGTGAATCGCAGCGTACGCAAATGGATATTTATAACGATGAACGAGAAGGTTGTCACTTCCCGTGAGGTCATAGGAGAACTCGTCACCAGCGTTCTCCGGAGGAAAAAGTATTTGCTCGTTCGCGTAAAAAGTAGACGTTGCGTAAGCATCGGTCATTAGGTGGTCGAGCGAGCACGTATGAGCCTCTCGTACTTGCTCGTAGCTCAAAGCTTCCTGTCGCGATTCAAGGATGCGGCCAATGCCGAAGCTATTGTTACCTCTTTGCATTCGCGGCAAGTTTCGAATAACCGTGGACCCCAACGAGAATCGCTCGTTCCCTTGCCGATCCCGATTTTCCTTTTCGACGGTTCCTCTCGCGTTTTCGAATTTAAAAATTCGCCAATTTTCAGATTCTCGGATCCGAAATTGGAATTTACGAGTAGCTTCGGGTCACTAGGAGACAGCGAGGATTTCGCGCGAGTTCGACGATCTTGGAATATTCGAAAGACCGGTCGGTTTTCCATCCTACCATTTCGCAATTTATCCATTAATGTAACGCGACGTGACTCCGATCGTCAATGTTATTTCGTCTCTTTCCCCATAGCACGGTCACGATTGTGTCGAAGCGAGCGCTGATTCCTCCGCAGCTGTGCTCTCGTTGACTGTTCGACGTGATTCTCAATCGTAATGCGCGGTTTGTTGCAGGGCATAAGTCAATTAAGCCGGTATTAGCCAATCGGGTGTCTTTCTACCGAAGCAGCTTGCCATGTCGTTGATTATTTCGTTCGTTACGTTGCACGCGATACAGCCGAGCAATATCGCATCTATATTTAACGCATTCCTCTAATCGTATTTCCGATATCACGCCACGCAACGTTCCACGATAGCCGACCATGTTTTTACTCCTCTTCCACGGCTCGTCGTTCATTTCCGAACCGCTTTCTACCCACTCGTTAATTAGCCATCGAATACAATAAGCGAATACTGTTACTCCGGCATGTTCCGAAGGATCCTGCGCTACTCGTTTCTTTTTAAATGGCACACCTGTAACACACGGTGTCACACGTGACTAAAATTATATTCCATTCGTTGACGTGGCTAATTAGCATCGAGGAAGGTTAAACGTCGCCGGGAATGAAACGACCGCGGACGCTCGAATTTAATATGCGAATTCGCTGCGGCGAATTTGCATTTCTTTAAGTTTCGTCCGTTTCCAAACCGGCGATCGGGAACAGAAGCGAGATTTCGATTCGAAACTCGAGCCGCCAGCTAAGCAATTCGACCGGCGATGACGCGCGCCGTATTACCCATTCTTCGTATTAAAATGTCATTTCCGTTCGAGCTTTACAGCTGTCTCGTGGAAAAACTCCCCATGCACGTCGGCTTTTCTCCTTACGAATTTCTTACGAATTTTCCCTCGATTTCTCGCCTTCCCTCGGAAATCCCTTCTCGCGGGTACAAAAGAAACGCAGCGCGAGAGCCGAAGCAGGGAAAAATACCGCTCTTAATTTATTTTCCTCGAATCGAAACGCGTTTCTTTCCCGGGAATTCAACTTTGATCTTTCCTTAAACACCTTTCGCTCGAGGGAAACGAAAAGCGTAAGCCGCTGCTAATATTTTCGCGCGATGCACACTCGCGATACTCGAGATTTTTCTCCGACGCGTAACGCATACCTGCTTCTGCGAATTTGGACGTAAAATTGCTCGGATGACTTATCGACCAGCTCTCAGAGGCTTACGGGAACACGATAACATAGCCACGCGAGCTTATAATACAGCGAAAGATAAAAATCGCGTTTATTTAACCCCTGGCTGGGTATTTTCGTGGCTACCGCTTAAATTATCGATACCGTGAATCTGAATTACCACGTCTCGCATCTTTATTCCCGCCGCTCTCTGGACAAGGACACCCATCTGTTTATCCAGCCATCTAGTCCTGGTAAAACGTGTTCTACCCGCGTAAGCCTATGGGCTAGTTAAAGTGATTTATCGTCCCGTAAAATATTCTTCTTGTCCGCTGTGTTCCAGCAGAAACAGACAGTGGCCAATTTAATTTCAATTCTCGCGCTAAATGTCTCGCGGTGGCGAAGAAAAATCGCGCCATTGTTCGGTTCGAAGTGTCGGTTAAAAAATCTAAAACGCCGTTTAGTCGACGTCGGGGCGAGAAATATTGGACTCGAACGTAGAATTTAGTTGCTATTTATCGACGCTTTATCGTTGCATGAAATATTAGGAGTCGTTACACGGCAGGTCATTTCATTTTTACGATTCCTCTGAAATCTAGAAGGCCATGGAATTTTAATCGTCCTCGCTGGATTTAAAACCGTTATCGATCTGTCTCGAATCGAGTACTCGCTCCGTAAAACGTATACCCGGTCTCGTTAATTCGCCCCGAATAATTCGGAAATAGATCTCGCGGAAATAGGTGGATATTGAATTTTTAATGGGAAATCGTTTCAGAAACGCGGTGAGAAATTTGGTGGAATCATATTTTGCCCCTCGAATCGATACCCAAGCGTGTCAGACTATTTCCACGTCCGTTTCCGAATGAGAATTTGCATATCTTCGAAGCTGTCAAACGGGGTTCTTCGAAACGATCCCGCGAAAAACGAACACTGCCCCACCACTCGACCTCTATCACCACCTTCATTTATCCTTTGACAAGCGCGAAATAGAGAACCGATAATCCAGAGTGAGAGAGAGAGCAGAGGCGTAGGAAGGTCGAGTGGAGGGAGCGTGGGATCGCGAAGAAGGCATCGAATTTCACGGGTATGCGACAATTTCGCCGGGTAATTATATTTACAGGGAGTGGCACTCGACCTGGCCGATCTCTCCGCGTCCCTTTTTCCCTGTGCCGCGCACGGGAACTCGCGCGATCCTGTAGAATCCGCGGCGCAGGACCAGGCCTGCGTGCAAACTCGCGACGCTGGTTATCGTTTCCATGGTTACGTGTCGCTTTCCGCCGTCCCCTCAACCCCTCCCGATCCCCGTGGACGTTCTCTGGAGCCGAGATGCAGGGTTTCATCCCTCTGTTCGGCCGCAGCGCCGGGGCGGCTCCCGTGCGGCGCAGACGTTCGTGCCGGTTGACCCAGGTCGCGTGATCCTCGTACGTCTCCGACCAGTATTTCGTCAATTTTTCACTCGCTACGCCACTGACGTCCCTTCCGGTGCTCCACCAAGGGACAGGAAGCGAGAGAGGAAGAGATCGCGACTGGTTTCGCGAAGATTTCTCGCGTTGGGACTGCGTGACGAAAATAGAAGACATCGGAGGGATTAGTCGGGGCGAGGGTGGCTCGCAGATACGGTGACCTTGAGCGGCAGACAGGTGTGGACGAGGCTGTGCGCGGCGATTCGTGGTTGTTCCGTCGTAATTGGTTCACGGTGTTTCTCGATGTCGTATCGAACGGATCGATGGATCGCGTGACAGGATCGACGCCTCGTTCGATAGCCGAGGGCGTACCATGCGTGCTGGCAGCTCGAGGAGGAGAAAGAAACGGAGAGGGCGGAGATCGAGTCGGTAAAGAGCGTTCAATTAGCACGAGCAAGAAGTTCCTACGTAGATACATAGCGCGCGAGGCCTGAAAAGCGTAATCGCTTGTTCGCCCCTGCAGCAGAGGAAAGGAGGAGGCGCGATGGAAACGCGGGCGAAACGCGCACGACAGGCAACGAGAGATTAACGGCGAGATTTTCGTCGATGGAATCATCGTCGTGGTCGGCGAGCCTCGTCGCGGTTTTTCGCTGAAAACACGAAGAAGGGGAAGGGAAAAGGCGGTGCCCGATGTTGCGGAACAATTCGTAACGAGCACGCCTGTCACGGCGCCGACGTACAATCGACACGTGGCTCGTCATACACCCGACCTTTTTTAACGTTCTCAACGATCGCGGGCTACCAGGTCCAGACTAACGTTTCATTCATGGATTACGTAACTCGAGAGGAAACCAGGAAGAATCCTTGATTACCGTCTAGCCGGTTGGCAAAACTCGGAAGATCCGACGTTGGCAGTTTGACGTCCCTCGAGGCAGGAGGACGCACTAAACTATCGCGTAACAGAGAAGACGAGGGTTCGGTCTATCCTCCGCTTCACGGGTGTTTTATCCAAAGAACCATGACAAACTCGAACAGTAGCTCGCTGTCGCGCGCTTGGCTTCGAGCAAATTGCTGCCGCTGCGGTGACACGCGCCAGGACACCGTGAACAATAACCTGAAGCAGGAGACGCCACTGCGGGAAGAGACGGAGACCCTTTTGCACCGTATCGCGTTCACGGTTTGGCACACTGCCCTCCATATAGAGAGCGAGGTGCGTGGGTGGTCGGTTGGCGCGTTCACGCACCGGCCAACGAGCGGAGAAAAATGATATAAAATCAGGGAATTACGCATGGTCGATCGCGCTCGATTTTGGAAAATTTAATCGGTCGATCGGATCGCGACCCCGCAGGGGTAGTCGCGGCGCGGAAATTTGTTTTCACAGGCCACCGGGGATTTACGCGAATCGAAGCAATGCGAATCGATGATGTTTATTATCGAACGCGTAGCGCGGCATCGGCGCGAATTTACGCAACAGCTGTTTTCCGGCGAACAATGGAAATAATTTACGTTCCGTATTTGTTATCGTTACTCGTCGCGACGGGGGTATAACCCATTTCCCCTCGCGACGCCCTTAATGTGCACGCGCTGAAATACCTGCTGGTTTCCTCTATCCTTTTTCTTTCCCCCCCCCCCCCCCCCCCCCCTCTCTCTCTCTCTCTCTCTCTCTCTCTCTTTCTACCTTTTTTCTATTCCTCCGTTTCGCGAAATATCGTGGGTGCACCCGAGACCCGTGTAACTCAGCAGGATTTTTTTCTCTTCTGTTGCAGCATAATGGGGGTTACGAGGCGCAGCCGAAGAACGTTAACACCATTGCGAGGAGCAAGCAGCAACAACAGGTAAAAAAAAAAAATAAAAATGGGGGAAAAGGAAAAGAAATCTCTGCCGACTCTTTGTTAGCTCACCCGTAATTCGTTCCTCTCGCAGCTGCAACGCGGTTTCGCTATAAATCATCTCGATCCATAGATCTTTAGGCAGAACGAATTTACATTTTTGTCTCTGGCGAAAATTGCACTCGTGCCTCGTCCCCCCGGGACGGACGCTCATAAATTATTCATCGGTATCTCAGTTACTAGGTCTGCTAATGAACCGATTCTAAATTTGCCCCGGTAAAACGCGTCTTCGCGCGACTCGCTCGCGTCCGTAAATTGCCCGTTGCGATTCGTCGCGATCACGGGGCCCGTTCTCGGAGATGGAAAAGAAGGGAAAATACGCACGGCGTAACGATCGTTACGGTAAGTGCACCGCCACGTTGCTCGTGGCTTATCGTGCACCGATAAGGAGTCGCGATTTGCGCCGTTCGCGGAATTAAGGCCTCTCTAAATATTTAATATTAAAACAGGCCGACCGTGATATGTACGAGGAAGTAGCGTCTGATTGGTCGAGGCAGCGCGAGAGTCGATTGCATCAGGCGTGCCTTTAGTTATTCCGCGGGAAAACACGCTCCGAGCCCTATTTACATTCGAAACGGCGCTCGTCGTCTACGGCGAACAACCTCCTCTTTCGCGTACACGTGTACCTGACACCGCGATTCAACGTTTCGCCAACGATCGCTATGCAAAATTGCACGCCGGGCCGGATCGCCTTCGAAATTACCTCCGAGACGTACATACCAAACGATCTCCATCGAGTCACCTGCGTAATCTTTCGCGGAACCGGAGAATTTTCACGACCTTGTTGCGTCTCGTCCGTCTTCCGTTTGATCGCCGGCGGAAGGGGGACGAATGGGCGTGGAATGGAAAATATTCCGCGGGAGAAATCGAGTTTCACCGATGTCGTTTATCGGGATTCGATAGATTCGACGACGGCCGGCGAAACAACGTTATGAACGGCGGGGGGATCGCGATCGTACGAAGCTTTTACCTCGTATCGCGAAATTCTCGTTGTTGCTGTCGCGTCGGTAAAGGAATCGCGATTTTTCCTTAATTCCTCGGATCACTTTTCTACTCGTAACGGAGACGTTATTATCGAGCGAGGCTTTTAAGATACCGATCTCGAAACGCCTCGCGGAGGGTTGCGCGTGTAACGCCAGGGGGTGGATGAAGAACGGATCCCGGAGGTAGCTCGGAGGGTACATTTACGCTTTATTAGGGGTTTTTTCTTGAGTCGTAGCGGCGGGTAGGCCAGCAGCTAGGCGTCTTTTACGCGTTAACGTCGACACCGGAGAAAATTATTCGGTAAAATGGCAGTAAGCTAGCGCACCGTATGAACGGCGCGGGTATCAACCGATGTTCCAGCGAGATAATCCAAGTATATTGACGTCGGCCGTGTAATGTATTCGCGAAACCCTTACCCACGCTTATGCCGCGGCCATTCTCGCGAAAATATACGTTTGGAGGAGCGTCGAATGCGAAACACGGCACGATGCGAGAGAATTCTGACAATTGCTCGTAACTGGTCATTACCGATTGTCGCGAGAAACCGTTCTTCGGTGGTAAACGTAGCTAACGGCGTGGAAACTTATTGCCGGAGAGGTCTATCGATATTCGCGGCCGTTCTCGACGTCCACGCGTGGCATTTCACCCTCTTCCTGGCAATTTTTCTCCCTCGATTTTTCTCCCGGTACACGATCCGCTCCGCGACCGGCGTGTGCGCGAAATAACGGAGAAACTCGTGGAACACGGACGCGTGTGGACGTAGGAATAATCTCGAATTCTCATTTGGACCGCATTCTCCACGGATCTTTCGCGGAACATTCCGCTATCGATCGGATCTCGGCGCTGGCCGTTGGTTAGCCGAGTGCACGCCGAGGCGGAAAGAAGTCGATAACGATAAAGCCCACTCTCGCTTGGCACTCTACTCGCAATTAGAAATTAGCCGCCGGCAATTACGCGGATTAACGATAATTGACATTACCGGCGCTACGTTCCCTTCACGCCCCCGAATAATTGCTTCCTACCAATGTCGCAGCCTACGGTCATATCCCTTCTACGTTACACGCGCTCTGCCGGCGGGACGAAGAATCCGAAGGTAAACGGAAATCGATGGAAAAATTATATTCCCGTCTGGCGGACCATCCCTTCCGTCTCGTTTCTCAACCATCTCGGCACGGAATCGAAACAGGCTAATTCGAATTTAACGTCAGCGTTCCGAGTTACCATCTCGTGGACCATTAACGAGAGAACCCGGTTAAACGTTCGAAACGATCGAATTTCCTCCGAGGGCGGAAAAAAAGGGTGATAGAGAAAAAAGGAAAAAAGGAAAAAAGAGAGAAGAGATTTCCTTCGAGAATTCGTCGTCGCGTACGAACACGTCGGAGTACCCGCGTCCCATTCGGTGGTCGTAACACCTGCGTAACACCGGTTCGATTTCCATTCATCCCCCACGAATTCCGTCGCGATTTCCGCCCACGCGACGCCGGTATTGAATTGAAATTTTAACGATCCCGCGACGAGAGGGCGGGAGGGTGGGCGAAAGGGGAAAATAAAACAGCCGCGGAAGCGAACTGACCGAGGCGGGCGGAGGCGCGGGAGGAAGCCGGGTGCCCGCCTCTCTAAAAATACGTTTATGGGATCGTAACGCGGCTCGCCGCTTCTCTCGCGGGCTGCAGTCAGCTTCGCTTCGCGCATACGTCGCGGTCTGCTACGACCATAAATCCCTCCCACCGTTAGGTCTCACGTGTGAAATTGCCATTACGCTGGCACGGTCCTACCGCAGCTGTCGTTCCTTGGAAGCTCGGCCTACCCGGCACGCCGCGTGTCCTTCGTATTTCTCACGCTTGCTTAGGATTCGAGGATCGACGGGGGGCCTTTCGTATCCGGCCGCTATTGCCACCATCCTTCTAACCGAGAAGAAGCCGCCATATAGGGACGGGGGGGGGGGGGGCTATGGGGGTACATTGGCGCGATTTGTCAGGCGTCACGCGCGAATAAGTCGTAATATCGTCTGACGCAGGGCTGATTTTTCATCCGGGGACGGGCTACTCTGTCGGCACGACGCGGCTGTTTCTCCGCGATAGCGTTTACGGGATCGTGTGCTCGAGCAGCGGTACCCTTTCTGCGTTCCGCTGAATTATTCCGCGGTACGACGAGGAAAACGAACGTTTCGGAGATAGGAAGCGACTGGTGGAGGGTCGTGGACGTCGAGCCTCGGAGATAGCTTTGTGACTGGCTTTCGAGGCTATTCCGACGATAACTCGCGCGATAAACATACGGAATTCCGTGGACGATCCATCGCGCGAGGGAGAAATAACGGTGGACGCGCGGTGGCGTGGTGGTGTGGAGGCTTTCTCGAAATTGCCAGAGAATATTTCCACGTCGAGAAACTCGTTCGATCGTTGCCCAACTGGAATTACACCCGAGACTGCTGCTTACGAAGACGCGGGGCGCGATTCGCGAACAAGGAACTTATTCATATTTCTCCGCCGACACGATTTTTCCGCGTCGCCCTTGAAGTCGAGTTACTCAAACCACTCGCCTCGCTTTATCGCGTTCTCCGCGCAGAATGCACACGGGACTCGCTAATGCGTCTCGCGTCTAATGACGAGCGTGACTTTGACTGAAGTCACGCTACCTGGACGAATTCGTTACATCATACGTGCACGCCGGGAGAGAGAAATCGTTGCATAGCCGGATACAAGGTAGGGGGAATAGCTGAACCGTCAGCTGTGCAGGCAGAAACCGCGGTACAACTATCGGACAAGACGTCGCGAATTCAGTGGAATCGAGCGAACGCACAATAGCCGGCAGTCCGTCATCCCATCGTGCCGTGTCGTCCTCGCATCCTTCTTCGTCGACTTCCCGCCAAGATAAAAGCTCGCGTGAAAGCACCGGGATTTCATGTCGATCCGTTGCGAAAACGCGACTCCCATAAGGTTACCGCCATGTCGCACAGCGTCGTCGCCAGGATCGTCTACGCGCCGAAATACACCAAGGTTCTCTTTGTCTCTCCACAGTAGCTACGAATTTTTCTTTTTTCAATTTTTCCCGAGTAAGGACAGGTGTGGTGAATCGTGAGGTTTTTATTTTTTATTTTTTTATTTTTTATTTTTTTTATTTTTTTTTCGTGTTGCTTCGCCATTGGTAAATTTTTGGTGTATACTTTGTGAAATTTCAATCGCGGAATGCAATCTGGTGCGAACAAGCGACGCGAAGATGGCGAGTGTATTAATTACGACCCACGGTGTTACAGGTACAAACGTCCTCGTCGACGACGACACCCGCGAGGACGCCCGGCGTCGGCGCGGACGCGACGACGACAGGATCTGGAAAGGGCGGAGGTCGTGTCACGGAAGTAATGGAGCTTTGTTACGTCACCGAAAGAATCATTGCACTCTGGTACAGGGAGGATGCGCAGGGAGTCCTTGAACACGCTACCGCACTCCTGCGGGGAAAGCACGCTGATAATTATATGGTGAGCGGCGAGTAAATGGCTGTAGATTAATGGTCGCTTACCCGATATAACGTTTTTATTAAATAACAATACCCATTAAACGAAAACGATCCTGGGGTAATCGGCGTATTACCCCTATTCGTTCTAATTAGAGTGGCAATTAACGCGATACGCGTACCGAAATCTCTTAATAACTCGCTAAGTGATTCTTAATCGATCCCGATTATTTCCTTACTCGCTTCCTGTATCGAAATAATTTACTTTATCTTCCATTTCGTATCTGTTCACCGCTGCGCGTATTTGCCATTCCATCTATCCGGTATACCGATTTGCAGATATTCAACCTGTCGTCGCCCGGCCGCACAGGGGAGCCAAACACCAGGGAAGCAGGCTGGCCGCAGGGTCTGGCACCCAGTTTGGAAAGACTGTGCGCCCTATGCAAGGAGCTGGACTCCTGGCTGAACGATGCTCCGAATCGCGTGGTCGTTCTCCACGCCAGGTGAGTCTTTCGCCGCCTTTTTCTCTCGTCAGAGACAAGCGGACGGAAAGGCGTGCTTCGTAAGAAGCTGGAAGCTGATTCCTCGCCTCTGTTCAGGGGAAGCAAAGAACGATTGGGTGTGGCTGTGTCCGCGTACATGAACTACAGCAGCATCTGCGGTGGACGTGATCAGGCGTTGGACAGGTTCGCTATGAGGAGATTCCTCGACGACAAGATTGGATCCCTGCAGGTTCCGTCGCATCGAAGGTAATCACTACGGAGCATGACGTTACTGCCTGTTGACGTTCGACGATAAAGCAAACTTTATCGCCTCTTAGTCGCGAATAACTCAGATAATGCTCGGACGAACCGGCCTGCACGGGCGTGGCCGCTTCGCGAACAATCTTACGACTAGTTAATCGCGTTATTCCTTATTCCTTATTTCCAAGCATGCGAGCCTGTCGTCCACGCTTCGTCGTAAATCCTCGTACCTCGGTCGCGCTTCCTCTTCTTCGGATTACGTAAAATTATTATGTCACGATTAATGTTCGCGCCATGCGTGTCACTCATCCTTGTCGCGATTGTTAATTGTTCTTGGATTAGTCGGGATTTTTTATCCACGGGGATAGAGTACCTCGTTCTTGGCACGCGTTTCGTTCGTTCGATCAGATTCACGGTAAACCGAGGATATCGCGAGAGAGGAGAATATACCGTGTCGAAAATCGAGGATTCTCGGTGGTAGAACGGGTACAAGCTTGGATATCGGTGGTAGCTCGGATAGCGAATTTCCCGTGCCGTCTTATCCCGCGGGATCTTTTATCGTTGCGCAATTAACAAATCGTTGAGAGTCCCTCCGAAACATTTCAAGTATCTTTAATCGTATTCCGCTCGATTCTAATGCGCCTTTGATGACCCCGTAAAAAGTAGAAGTTAAAAGCTTCCTGTATCGCGGCGTCGATAAAACAGCTATATAAGTCCCGTAAATCTCATGATGGACTACTACCATCGAGGCCGATACACATTCTCGAATGTACTCATACTGATTCACCGAATCCGCTGCGTGTAACTTGACAGATATATCAGGCTCATCACCGTCGTCCTCCCAACCATTGATCTTTCAGATACGCGGTATTCAGTGAAACCTGCATTTTCCCGCCATAACGGTTCACAAATCGTCGAAATTACATTAATCGTGCAATCCACGCACGTGTAACTACGCGGTGCTTCTACGGAGCGAATCACAGATTCGAATGTACACCTATATTTCGCTAATTTCCAACGTTTTTTCCAAAAAAAAGAATTGAAGGGATAGGAGAATCGGGACTCTTGCTCGTTTGTACCGATACGAAACGCGTTTCTTACCTGTCACGCGGAACACCGAGGACGCGATCGACCGCCTCCGCATAGCTGAAAGCGTTGGTACGTGTATCGGAAGCGGCATTTCCACGACGAAGGCTCGCCTCGGTGTCGGCCTGATCACGTGTAACTACGCGGTGCTTCTACGGAGCGAATCACAGATTCGAATGTACACCTATATTTCGTTAATTTCCAACGTTTTTTCCGAAAAAAAGAATAGAAGGGATCGGAGAATCGGGACTCTTGCTCGTTTGTACCGATACGAAACGCGTTTCTTACCTGTCACGCGGAACACCGAGGACGCGATCGACCGCCTCCGCATAGCTGAAAGCGTTGGTACGCGTATCGGAAGCGGCATTTCCACGACGAAGGCTCGCCTCGGTGTCGGCCTGACCAATGAGAGACCAAAGACCGTCTAAAAATCCGAGTAAAATAACCGCGTAAACGTAATCCCCGTAGGTAGTCAGACCTGTCAACCTTGGCCATCCATTGCGGGCAACGATCGATACGCGTTACGCGTCGATCCGGTCGGCCCTTCGCGTTTAGTTTTCGTCGTTTCACGCGCACACCGATGATCGTAATGATCCCCCGGCGAACACGGTGTCCTTATACGCCGAACATTCCTCGGGGCGTCGTGGCGGTTGCGTCGCCATGGTCTTCGCGTTCCTCGTCGCCTTCCTCGTCGCCTTCCTCGTCGCCTTCCTCGTTCCACCGATCTCCCATCCCCGAACGATCGAGTTTCCCCATTAATTCCACGAGCGGCGAGCATTAGCATGTCGTTAGCGTGGTCGCGCACTCCCGCGAACGTATGAATCCATTATCGAGGGTCGAGAAGGGCCTAGGTTGCCTCCTCGAAACGTGTGTAACGCGCACGCCGCACGGCACCTTAGGTGCCACCGGGAGAACGGGTTTTTTTTTCTTCCCTCTCCGAGGGGATCGACCAGTCACCGAGCAAGGGAGAGAGAGAAAGAGAGAGAGAGAGAGAGAGAGAGAGAGATCGTATCTGCTTCGTTACGAGAGACACGCGGGAATTCGTGAGAGATCCAGCGAAATTACGGTCATGAGCGCTCACGACGCTGCATAATCGACAGGTACCATGGACGGTTCAGCCGTCCCGGTCGTTCTTCCGTGTTTGCCCGGTGTGTTACAAGTGGGAAATCGATCGATCCCTCGGTATAATACGTCGTCGCTCGCTAACCATTCGACGCAGATGTTCGGTCTCGCACGAGCGTTCAGAGGTGTCCCGTCTATGGTTGTTCGTCGAAAGTTTTTCGCGGTACCCTTTTGGTATCCGCGCGCGCGCGCGCGGTAAAAGGGTACGTGAGAAGTAGAAAAGTCCATTCGCGGTCAGACACTAATTAGCACGGGAGTGTGACAGTCGGGAGACGCTACAATACTTTCGCACGGTGCGTTACGACAGACGACCAAATACGGCGAAGCTCGTGCGAAGTAGAATCGGCCATACGTGGTCGGACACGAATTATTACCGGAACGGTCGTAGTTCCACCCGTTCTTTTTGCTCTCCCTCGGGTGTTTCGTGATGGAAACGAGCCACGATTGACCATCCCGGCTGTTTTGCCGACGAGACTCGATGGTAAAAAAAGCTAGGTCTACCTTGACCTAAGTGGCGTAAATAACACGGTGTCCGGGAAACACTGTTTTAGAGGTAATTGCTGTATCGTGTCGCGTGTCGTAACGTTTCTATTATGAAATTTCAGAACGCTCTAGGTCTCTGTCTTTTAATCTTCCCGAGTAGCAGAAACTGATCGTATTACGCGATAGTCGTTGCCGATTAACATTGACCCATTTGCTTACGTATCCGTGGACCGTATAGCCGACTACCTGACGGCGAGGGTAATAGGTCGATCAGCAGCGTACACCAAGGTTGTTCCATCCGTCATTGCCGCGCGTCGCGTAATTTAGCGAGAATTTATTTCACCGCTGTAAAATTTCCCCGATCTTTCTGTCGCAGGTACATCAAGTATTTCAGCGGACTTCTCTCAGGTTCCTTGAGGATCAGTCAATCTCCGCTCTATTTAACACATCTCACCGTCCTGGGTGTTCCGCTGTTCGAACCCACGGGTTGTCGAGCGTTCCTCAAGGTCTACGAAGGGCTGACTCCTGTCTACACCTCCGATCTGTATTCCGTGACGAACGCTCGCGAGTTCACCGTGAATCTCGGTGGGCTTCGTCTGAGGGGAGACATTCTGGTGAAATGTTACCATAGGGTATACTCGAAGCAGAGCCGGGAAGTGATGTTCTCCCTGCAGGTAAGGCGAAACTTTTCCAATTAAACTAACTCGGTGCTTTCGAATGGAGAAGAAATCCTGTCCGCAAAGTCGAGCTTTGAGTAATGTATATAAACATTGATCCTTCTCGTTCCATTCCCTCGGCGCAAACCGAGGAACCCCACTCTTATCGACCATCCGCATCGCGGCAGAAATCCTTTCCCATAAACTTCTCCAATTGTAATCGCGTTTGCTCGAGGACTCGCGATGCGCGTAATTAGCACGATCGTATCGCTTTTCCGACTCGCTTTGCGTATTATCGCTCGAAGTAGAGGCAACGTACACGCGCACCTCTGTACGCGGATTACGCAACGAGCGATATGGTTGATACACGAAGAGATCGGTATTGGTCGTTTCCGCAGTTCCACACGTGCGTGATCACGGAGAACGTGGTGTCCTTCCCTCGATCGGAGCTGGACGTGGCCTGCGACGATCCACGGTGTCCACCCGACAGCGTGGTCACGCTGTACTTCGCCACCGACGCGAAGCGTCAAGATGGACCGATACCGGCGCCGACGCCGGCCGTGCCGCACGCTTCCGCTCATCACGACCCCATCCTGCACTGGGACAGCTACACGAATCTCGAAATCAGCGACGACGGTGAGTGACCCCGTCCTCGGTTCCTTTAATCGCGTCTTATCGTTGTTCCCCGAGACAGAGATAAGAGGCCAGGAGGATGGTAGATTACGACGAAGGAATTTGAAGAAGTCGCGGTTGATGAACGATCAACCCGTGCGGACGAGGGAGTTCGCGTGGAACGAGGCACTCGATTAAGTTAGATTAGAGTAGATTACAACGCGACCGTTCAATTTGGTGCAATTGCCATTGCGTTAGATCGGGTTACTAGGGAGATCGGTGACGATGCTGCGTTAAAAGTACTCGCGTAGGTGAAATAGAAGAGGTTGTTGGACAGAGGGAGAGGGAGAATCGTGTGTTGGCTGTTGGCGGTAACGATCTTCGCGTTGGTTCGTCTTCGGTAATGGTAACGGCTTCTCCGACAGGCACGTAATTCGCAGTTAAATCTTGCAAATGTAAATTAGAACAACGAGGAACGGCGAGGTACGTACCGAATGGCGAATACGAGAATATTAGAAGGATGAACGCGACGGTCGGAATAGCGCTCGCAGGAGCTGTCGCGCTTTTTGGTCAAAGTTTCCCCGGCCAAATCGTCGTCTCGTGAGCCGTTGAGACGATAACGTCGCGACGCGACTCGCGATTAATTAACCGATAGAGCAAAACTCTGGAACCGTGCTCGGAGTGACGAAACTCGTCGCTCGGGGATTAATTCGCGCTAATTTTCGTCCTGTTGGTAGCCAATTAACCTCGATCTGTCGGTGAGTAGCGGTCAGAAATACGACTTGGCTGGGACGAGGGAGAAAGAAAGGTGGTCGAGGGGCTTTCAGGTAGGGACGGGAAGTAACGGACAGAGACGAAAACTTGGTAGTTAATGCAGCGTCTTTAAACCGGGTGACTAACGTGGCCGGAAATACGTGCTGCCAGCCGGAGATGAAACGGCGGTTTATCGCGACGACACACCGTACCTCTGGAAATAGATCAAAGGTCGAACCAGCGGATGAACAAGTTTCGCCGAGCGAGGATTTCCTACGTGTTCGATTACTTTACACGCTCGTGCACGTTCTTCTCGGTCCCTCCGCGTCCTTGCGATTTACAAACGCAACGCGAGACGTAAGCTGGTGACTATCTTATCCGGATTTCGTTTGACCAGCTGGCGACCACTTGGCACCAAGTGTTCCGGAGTAGGGAGTAAGATTTGCGCCAACTGGAGAATTTCAAAAGAAAGTTTGAAAATTCGATATTTTTCTCCCGGCGTGAAGAGTATAAAGCGAGTCGGGGGATTGGGGATGATGGATTTCGCGAGCACGAGCCGCGTAACAGGAACGAATCCTGGGTCGAGTCCGATTTCCCCAGCCGAAATTCCGACCTACGTTAAACGAAACGAAACGAATCGTCGCCCACGTTACTCCTACCCCGGTTCGGCGAACCGTTTCGAATATTCGGAACGGTTACGTCACCGCGATGCGTCCGTCAAGCGTCGTGGAAAAGAAACGAGACGACGATGAAACGAGGGACGACTCCGATTCAATTCGTTTCGTTAACGATCAGCCCATGCTTCCAATAAAGCTGTGACCCAAATTGTCCGCGACGGTTACATCGACGTGGTTCGTTTACGAGACTCGAAAACGAGACGGAAGGGAAGAGAAAAGGACGTGGCAGATAACGGATGGACGATGAAAGAAGAAGAAGAGCCGGGCTAAACGACCGGCTTAACCGTCGACGATGGTAACGATCAGCCCTTTCCGCCAAAAACGTTCGCGTGACCGTGGAAAAATCAATTTTCCCACGCGATAACTATTCAATTTTACGAGCGAGAGGGAAAAATGTAAACGTTGGTCACTTGCGTCACTGCGAGAAGGAATCGATTATATCGGTTTCATTTTCGGGCTGCATTTATATTCCGTCAATCTGACGCGGATTTTCGTCCTGGTATTGACGTGTGCCGCCCCGCGTCAGGTTGCAAACAGTTTTTCATTTCACCGTTGTCTCCGATCCCGTGTATCGAAATAGGCTTCGATAAATGCACCCGATTGCAGTCGGTCTTTTTATATTCGAAGCGTAATTGAAACCGCGTACCGGGCGAATCGCTGTAAATTCATGAATTCCGCCACGACGCGACGCGACGGTTTATCGCGATTTTTCGCCTCGTATTACCCGCGGTTTCCTAACCTCCGTTCGTTCGATATTTTTCTCCGTAGGAAGGCTCCGGACTCGAATTACGCCCCCAGTTGTTTACACGATTTACTAGGAAGTGTAATGAACCCCCAGATCGAACCTTGAGAAGTAAAATAGTAGACGTTACGCGAACCCACACGGTGCACCCACGCGATGGAAAATAAGATTCCGAGAGCGCTGTGCTTGCTTTACAAACGATCGACTTTAACGACCCGATGAGCTACGTGATCTATGAGCCAACGCGGAAAGCTCTTGACGTTCTTTCTCTCCGACGAGTGAAAAACGCGAAATCGTCTGCAAATGTTTGCCACTTCCGGGACATTTCGGATCGATCGCATCGTTTCGACCGATTCCACGGATTTCGCGTAATACCGGCTCGAGTTTTATCGCGTTTCAGACCACGAATCCCCGCGCTCCTCTCTCTTTGATTAAATCATTCGCGAGGATTAGCTACGGCTCCCGGGAAAGACACCCTTTCCCGTCCAGAGCTAGACCTCCTCGACGATAAATTTTATTACATCTGCTCTATCGGCGTTGTTCCGCGTCTGAGCTGGAAAGCAGGGCAAAGGAATAAAGAGGGATCGAGCCTTATGGCAACGTGGAAATCTAAAATTAAGAGCTACGCCCCTTGAATCGAGTGGTACCGGCAGAAAATAACCGTGCTCTTTGGAACAGCGTTTTTCGCGCCGCGGCCGATTATTACGTTTATCCCCTGTCATTTTCCCTCTCTCGCCTCTCTTATCTACGGCCATTCTTATTCATTCCTTTCATCCTTATCGTAATCTGTTTGCCTTTCTTTGTAATACCATATGCGATCGCGCGATAACGGAGATACCATTAAGATGTCACAGTAGCCTTCGCGATATAATAAGATCGTGAAATCGGTCAAGCGTCAAAGTTTACGTGCTCCAGGCGTTTCCTCGACTTTCTACGCGGTTCTAGGCTGTCTAATTTATTCTGCTCCTTCATCGCTCGCTTTTCTCCAATTTTTCCCTCCCTTTGCTACCCGAGCTCCTCCTCCTTGTCAACGAGGTCGATAAGAAAGATACGCTTCTTCTTCGCGTGGAAATTTTTCCAACTTGCAATTACATCGCAGCGACGTAACGTTACATAATATTACGTAAGTTGCTTCGCGCTCTTGGCCGATTTATCGCTGTTCCGAAATGGATCGCAGGTATCTTCTCTAAAAGCGTTCATAGCGGGCAAGCAATCGTCAGAAGTGACCGCTGGTAGCCACTGGCTGACTATGGAATGGACACTGGAATGGACGCGAAAGTAGCTGGTTCCGGAAGTACTCCCTAGAAGCGCCATAGCGGTCGGAGTTAGGTCGCCATCGGAAATGATTTCGGAGAAAGTGACTACTGGCGAACATTGGCTGACCGTGGAATGGTTTTCAGCCCCACACCCTCGACCAACAGGGTGTCGATAATGCGAACCGTGTTTGGACATTCGGGCACTCGTGCAGGATCCAGGGACGAAGGAATGTCGTTGACACGTTAACCTCTGCATGTGTCGCGGATATTTATCACTCGAACGTGAACGAGGCGATCGATGGACTCGCGGATAAATCGCGGGAATTTGTAATAATTGATTACGAAGTCGGTGAAATGTCGGAGTATACGTATCCGAACGGAGCGACGATAATCTCGGAAAATAAGCTCTCGCGATCTAAAAAGGGTGCTACAAAATATACCTCGGCCTCGTTGCTGCCACTTGATGCATTAATTCAGAACTTGGCCATGTCAAGGCGGCCATTATAACCACCAGCGAGCGAGCAACTTTAATTCAAAATATTTTCGCGTTCTACTATCTCGTTAGTTTCTAGACTTTTATCCGCCATCGAGGCTTTTCCAGTTTACCTCGCCGCGTTCCCCGTCCTCCAGATTCCACCTTTTAAAGAAATATACGAGAAACGAAACGGTCGTTAAATTTCTTTCGCTCGAGCAACCTTGCCGCAAATTTATAGAAAAGCACTTCTCCCCGCGACCGTTTTCCAGCTATAGGGCTGCATCGGGGGGAGGAAAGGGGAGGGAAGGGATTATTTTCGCTTTCGATAACTTTACGCGAGTGGAGCGGAGTAAAATACGAAGTCGATCGTTCTGTAAATTACGAAAGTTGACTGGAAGCGGTAACAAGCGCCTGAGAAGTTAATTCTCGAAGAGGGACGGAAATGCAAAGAACGTCGAAGGTGGTTTCGATGGTGGGGCGGACGTCGGTTTATTCTTGGCGTCGAGACGCTTCGGGACGAGTCGGAGCTTAATAGTTTTCGCGCGATTCTACGCCGGAGCAGCCAAGCCTCGAGCGGTCTCTGATTTTCCAACAGCCAATTGCGCGCGTGATTTTGTTTATATTACTCCAAGTTGTGCAACTCGATCGGGCTGTCAAGTAGAAATCGACGTGGCTGGAAAGTTGCGGAACTTTGAGACGACGCTGTTCCGTGAGTTGACTCATTCGAATTATTTCAATCTTTAATATCATCGTCGAATAGATGTCGTCAAAATGTCCATTTCAAAAGAATTGCGTGTTAATATTCCATCGTACACCTTTTTCACGATATTCTTTATTACTTTTTCCATCGAATACATTTGTCTGCCTCTTTCTTTTGCTGGACAGTTAACCATTTTGCTTGTCATTTAGATATCTGTACCTTGCAGGAGTTAATTCGAATTTAAATTAGAGTAATCGCACACCACGGTATCCGAATTCGATATTCGCCTGTCAGAGCGCACGCTTCGTATACTTTCCTACCGACACTCGAGAAAGGAGTTTGCTTCTTCGAATGGAAACCACGTTGGCGCGCGCGCTCGCGAGGGGAAAAGCGCGAACAGAATAGAGACTTCTGCTCCAAA